ATAGTATTGATTTCATTTTAGATAGCTAAAATATCTGACATGAAGGGAAAATTCAACTATTTGCAGTCCAAGAGAAAGAATACTTTAGAAAAGGATTTTATTGTACAGAAATCATACTTGGGGGTGCCTATTTCCTGTGAGGTACATTTTTCATCTGATTATTTTTGGTTCAAAACACCATCAGTGGAGAGGAAGGCCAGATTCAACAAGTTTTTCACAGGACTCTCCCTCCCTTACAGTTACTCTCATCAGTGACACACTGACTATTACCTGCTGCTTGTACTAAGCTGAGTAAACACATCAGGTGTTAGAACTTTGATTTCAAGTTATTTTCAGTGCCCGCAGGGTAGCCTATAAACATCTTACTAGCTTCTACATACAAAAAAGGTCTTATTACAGTTATTAGGACTGCCTACTCAGTCACCATTTGCAACTAGATACAGAACTTGATTAAGAACATTCTTTTACTACAATGCCAAGGTTTATAGACATGCCCCTACCTGGTCTTTACCGAAGACAGATCCATTTCCAATACCGTACAACAGTGAATATGCAATCTGGCCAGCTGCTCCAGTCACAAGGACTCTGATTGGTTCCGACTGTAATGAAAAAGACGAAAGCATAGCTTATTAAAGTATAGGTTTAATAAGGCAATGTGTGCTTTAAAAAAGCAAGCATGAGACCTTCAAGTCTCTTCCTGACTAGCGTAGAAGCTAACTTATAGGCTTATTTTCAGTAAAGGCAGCATGTACAAATGAACCAAGCAACTTACCAAGTGTGCCTTTCACTGGCACACTTGGGAAGAGTTCTTTAACTTTTACTAAATGGGAGCAAAGAGCACAGAACTAGATTTACTTATGTAATCACATCTATGGGGACATTTTGCCAAAAACTAGGCCCACAATGTCATATCCATATTATGAGGTAATTATAAGCCCTGGCAGGTCAGAGGAGCCCCACAGATCCCGACTCCACCTCATTAGAATCTTGCACACTAGGAAAACACTGATTAAAACTCTCCCGTTAAACCTAGGTTTAATAAAACAATACTGCTTTGACTTAACTACCCAAAGAGCAAAAGCAACATTGTACTTAATTTAGAGGCAGGGTCTCCTCATGTAGATCAGGCTGGTCTTAAACTCACAGAAATACACCTACCTCTACCCTACATCCCCAGTGCTGACATTAAAGGTGTGCACTACTATTCCCAATGTTAAGCCTTTATTTTAAAAACTGTATTTATTTAAAGTATATTGGGTGGCGTATACCTGACACAGCATGCTACAACTTGTGGGGGTCGTTTTTTCCTTCTGTTATATGGGTCCTGGGGATTGAACTCAGCAAGTGCCCTTTACCCACTGAGCCATCTTGCTGATCCAAGCCTTTAAAACATTTTTTTTAAAGGAGATAATTATTAGTATCTGGAATATAATAAATTTTAGTATTAAATATTGCACTAAATCATAACAGCAATAGCTGGCAATCTGATTCCAAGGGAAAATTATGTTTTAAAAGAATGAAGAGAAACCATGGAAAAAGTACAATGGTTATATAATAGAAAAAAAAAAAAAAAAAGAGCAGCTCTACAGGCTAAGAGACTTTGAATAAAATAAGATATGCAGACTAAAATAACAACTGTATTCAAAATGAGGGCTGAGTAATGGAAAGTTTAAATTAAGCTCAGAGAATTTATAGAATAGAATCAAGATAAACTGTTCTCTTCCTTGACAACACTGAGCACTGTACTTGTACTTTGTGTCTCCCTGGTCCCCCCTGACCCACTGAATTGACTGGGCATAGAAACATTTGGTTTCTTTCTATTTTTAGAACAGCATCCTCTAGGTGAGTCATCTGTCTGAGGTGGAAAGATGCATGGCCTGCAACCAACAGCACTCAGGGACATGGTCCCCACCAATGTCCAAAAAGGAAATTCAGGAAATAAGTATTAATTGTTACAAGAAATAAATTTGATCATGGTAGATTTTACTTGCATTTCTTCCTTAAAAACATGCTCAGGATAGGAGTAGAAAAATATAATCAAAGAAAAAAACCTCAGAAAGCTATGGAGAAAATTCTCCTTGATTCCTAGATTTCTCCCCTATTTTTCCACATCTTTAGATATATTAAACCTAATGTCTACATAAGCCAATTTTAATAAAAAATATGTATTTATATTATTATGTACTTAATAAAACATGATTTATGTCCAAAGTAATAGTACACATTATTCTAAATGGCTACTTTCTGCTATGCACATCTCTACGATACTTGTGTTCTGAAATGCCATTATTGGGAACCATTACTATTATAGACCTGTATATACACACACATGCACACACACACACACACACACACACACACACACACATATATATATATATATGCACATATATTTATATTTCACCTTGTCATCTTTCCTTTCTCCTTGAAATTGAGAAATGAGAAGGGAGAACCTAGTTCCCTCTTTTGGGGACTTTGTCTATTTCATCTTGCTACAATCTGAATTTGATTCATTGCTACATCTCAAGTGATAGATAAAAATAGGTGCACAGCTAGAACTCTGGTACTTGCTTAAGAAATAGCTGGGTCATGTAAATATTGCTACCATAAAGACTGAAATGTACACAATTGGAAGCAAATTGAATATACGTTAAAAAAGTAAAGATACTTTATTCATATATATGTTTATTGAGAAGGCTGGAAACTGAGGGGCCTTATTTCAGCTGTAATAAGCAAAGCTATGTCAAAAATTCTAAATCTTTTATTAAACTTACTTCAGTGTATGGGTGGAGCAACACCATGGACATTTCCTCTGAGAGTCCTACAGCCTGCAGTAACATATTTACATGTCTGTCACTTAGCTAGACTGTTCCCCTGAGAGCAGTTTGCCTTTGATTAAAATTTGTACTCTTCATACAGGTCTCAACATATATTTACTGAATGAATAATGTTAAGGGTAAAGCTAATGGGTAGAGATAAAACAAAAACAAAGCTACACTGGTTTCTAGGCATGGTAGCACATGCCTGCAACCCTAGGCTGGGGGGTGTACATGAAAGTCATGAGTTCCAAGAGTGAGGCCAGCGTGGGCTACATGAGACCCTGCCTCAAAACCAAACAGCAAAAGGCCATTACCACCCCCTCTCCATTTGAGTTTAACAGTGTAAAGCAAGCAGGGGTAAGAGATAAGGGGGAGCTGGGAGGTGGTGGTGCACATCAGGGAGGTCAGCTTAGTCTACGGAGAGTTCTAGAATAGCCAAGGCTACAAAGAGAAAACCTGACTTGGGGAGAAAAAAAGAAAAGAAATGAGGGAGAAAGTGCTGATCACATCTATATAGTTTAAACTTCCAGAAAGTCTAGTTGATGGTTAGAACAGATGTGTTCCCAGTGATCAGTCTGCAGTGAAGAGATGATGCCCAACTAATCAACAGTTGATTCTACTTAGCGGGTTCTTCTGTCTGGGCAATTCCATATTACCTTTGTATCTGATGATGAAATAGGCAAAGGAAACACCAGTTTGATTCTTATTGCTCTCCTGAGACTTTAGTTGGAAAGCAGGAGGGTAGGAGAGTCCCACTGACTTCCCACAATGCAACAGTCCCAATGCAGGTTTCTATTCTTTGCTCAGATATCTGGGCTTTCTGCCAAAATCCAAAAAGGAACGGCTTTTTTGGCAGGGCATTAACGACCTTCCTGAAGATACAGGCTGCCTTAAAAATGTACTATTATTCAGTTGAAAAGCTTCAATTTTTGTTTCCCCTGTTATTCCACAGAATAACATTCCTTTTTTGACTTTCTAGTTTACATGTATTACTGTAATACAGAAGAGAAGCAGTGTTATTCAGATTCCTCCAGATATTCTTAGGTCATTCTCTTATGGTTAGTGGCAAAGATAAAAAATGCTTTTGATTGACTTATAAAACAAGACCTTTTATTTATGAGTCAGGATTGGTCTCTCTGGAACTCGGTATGTAGAGCAGGCTGGTTTTGAAATCACAGACTTCCCCCTGTATCTGTCTTCTAAGAGCTGTGATTTAAGGAATGCACCACCACCCTGAGTGGAACAACAGCTTTTTTCTAAGTCAGCAATTTGCTCACATACTCTTCCCAAGAAAGCCTGTTATACTAACGACTCCTGGCGTTACAAAAGAAGATCTGAATCACACTGCAACACGATAGAACTCTTCTACCTGGACCATCTTATATCATCTGGAACTGTACAGGGGCTCTGGATCAACATGACCTTGGGAAATTGATGACCTTGCTAGGCTGCTTTGAGATTAGATAAAATAATCTCCAAATTCCCTTTAAACTTCAGAATTCCAATATTCTGAACGACGAGGAATAAAGCTATCTGATATTACAATTATGGGTTTGTATCTTCTCCGGTAACTTCTGCTACTGACATTACAGAGTGACTTGCTAAATGTACAATGTAGTCAAGGTAAAATGGGAAGAGTAAGTGCTCCCAGAAGCACATCCTGTGACCTTGAGAGACTCACATTCTGGGTCTCAAAATCTAACTTTCAGTATTTTAAGCGCGGTTTTGGTTAAGATGATTTAAAAAAGGTTTTCATTTAGATCTAAAATGTTAAAGTCTGAAGTTCTTTGATAATTACCCCCATTTTATGACTAAAATCATTACAGCAGAAACCGCCTAAGCCATAATTTAAATAACTACTCATGTGCCAATATAACTAGAAAACAATGACCGAGAATTAGTAGTTGTCCTCTTGGGGTCTCTTATAGATGTCGAGGGAGTTTTTGTCCTTGCTTTGAAACAAGTCTTTTCAGTCTCTGCGAAATTTCCAATTCGTCCAAATTACTTTCTCACACTCGAGATTAAAGGAGAAAAACTATTTTCAAAATATAAATTCCAAAGCACGGCTGCAAATTCCAGTCAGGTGGTTAATGTCACCTTCAAACAGCACGCAGATTATTCCTACGTCAGAGTTCCTTCAACCTCCCCCCCCCCTTCGGCTGGGACAAGATAGGAAGATCCAGCGACCTAGAGCTTCAGCAAGATGGTTGCGTTAGATCTCCAAGTAGGTATTCCGCAATACATGGCAGAATAGCAAAGAATATCCGCGCTAATTGGTTAGCGATGCTAACGAGTCCTGGCATTACAAAAGAAGATCAAGAATAGGTTTTTCAGTAACATTTTTTTTTCTTTGAAATTAGATTTGGAGGAAACATGAAAACTGGGGTCATAACCTAGAGCATTACCTAACTCAACACTACAGGCCTACTAACCTTCCAGGAGCTTAAGGGGCAAAATACAGGTTAGGACCCAATTCATTCCCTCCCATCAACTCTCATCCCCGTCGGATGACAAAATTGTCCCTCAGCCATGCGTCAGGATTGAGACGAGCCTCTCCCAGGACAACGACTTCTCTAGAGCTTTAAGAGCCCCCAGATGGAAGCGAACCCCTTTCCAATTACTGGATTACTGCGACAGTCCGCGGGGATGAGTCGGGTTTTGCAAACCGCGCGAAGGACAGCGCTCGGCATTACTGCTTCTCTAAAGCGCGTCAAGCGCAGGAAGAGGCCGACAGGCCCGAGCAGCTGCAGGATCCAGGAGCCCACACTCACCATTATTGAGAACTGCGAGGGCGACTTCTGCACCTGCAAAGGCTGTCTTCTGGAGTCAGGTCACCTCTACAGCGGAACCGACTCTGGCAGTGAGCGCTACGCTCGCCTGGAAAGGTTTGGCTGCATAGCCCCGCACTTTCTGGGAAATGTAGTTCATCAGGCGGGGCTGTGGCGCCCATCCCCGTGCATTCCTCCAGGGAGAAACTACAATTCCCGAAAGCCCCTTCTTTCTGTTCGCTTCGCGGACTGCAAAGTAGTCCCGGGGGTTGAGCCTCTGGGATTGGAGGACGTCCGTGAGCGGAGGGTTTGTGCTGAGGTTGAAACGCCTGACTGATGGCGCTCAGCAATTGGCGGGAGGGGAGGCGTTAACTCGAGGGAGGAGAAACCCCTGAGCTACAGCACCCGTAGCTCCACCGAGACTCCATCCTCCCCCAAGGCTAAACAAGGGAGGTTGAAACCTTACGTTGCGTAAAGCTCGCTCGACCCGGAAACAAACCTTTTAAAACCCATTCTCTCAGGGGCGGGAGAAATCGACGCATCCGGAAGAGCGGACAGCTTCACCGTTGCTAGGCGACAAGGCAGGCGCACCTGAGCGCTCTGGGGACCAAGACCCAGTGGAGCTGCGAAGCCACGCCAGAGGCAGGTGAGCTCGGCCCCGAGAGCTTTTCTCTTCATCTTGGGTCCAGAACGGGGTGCGGCTCTTTCTCATGTTGCCTGGACCTGGGTCGGACCTAGCGGGCGGCTGTGGACGATCTCCCGGGTCCCTTGTTAGGGTCAGGAGCGTGCGGATGCCCCAGTGTTCAGGAGAGAGGACTGTCCTGCACTTTGAGCCAGCCAGTGCGACTTTTCTAATGTAAAGTCAGAAAGATTTATTTGTGGAGTGAGCCCCTTCCTTGTAGGAGCTTGTGGTACATGGATGTAACTTTCTCTGCCTTCCGTAAACTATGACACTTTAGACTCGTTCTCGTTTTGGAAACTGGTTTGCTTTGAAACATCTTGATAGAGTTATGCCAGACTCTTATTTCCAAGGGAGTTGGGAGACACTGGTTGTTTCAGGCAGAATGTTAGCGACTAAAATAACGGAAGAGGCTTTCGTTTGAAATGAAAGTTACTAAGGAGACTGCTGTATACTCCATTTGTTTTGTGTGGATATTCGAAAAGACGTGGTGCTTTGGAACAGACCAATGGATATGCTATTGGCCTAACTTCAGGATTTTCTGTCACTAGCAAATGAATGCTGAGCGACTTCGGTTTTGTTTTTGGAAGATTTACTATTTGGAGAAAGAAATTATAATGCCGTAGGGTCTGTCTTAGTTAGGGGTCTATTTCTGTGATGAAGCACCATGACCAAAAGCAAGTGGAGAAGGAAAAGACTTATTTGGCTTACACTTTACATTGCAGTCCATCACTGATCCAGGCGGAAACTCAAACTTGGCAGGAACCTGGAGGACTGAGCTGATGCAGAGGCCATGGAGAGATGCTGCTTGCTGGCTTACTTCGAGCATGGCTTGCTCAGCCTGCTTTCTTATAGAGCCCAGGGCCACCCTCCCAGGGATGGCCCCACCTACTGTGAGTGGCCTGGGGGCCCTCCCCAACAATCGCTAAATAAGAAAATGCCCTTCAGGTTTGCCTACAGCGTGGTCTGGTAGAGGCATTTTCTCAGTTGAGGTTCCTCCTCTCTAATGATTCTAACTTGCATCAAGTGGGCATAAATTATCCAGCACACTGATTGATATGGCTGGTGCCATTCCTGGGTGATAGGTCTAGCTGAGTGTACCAGCAAGTGTTCTTCTATGGCCTTTGCTTTAGTGTCTGCCTTGGCTTCCATTAATGCTAGACTATGATGTGGAAGTGTAAGTTGAAATAAAGCCCTTCCTCCCCCAAGTTGCTTTTGCTCAGTATTTTATATAGTATTTGGTGGAAGAAAGTTATCACCCAGAGCAGAAGCAGGAGTAGCATATCTTCAAGGAACCGATTCTTTCACCATTGGGTTTCCTATAGCATGCATGACTTATGAAATGCTGACTGACCAGGAATGGACCTTGCAAAACCAAGAAAAAAAAAAGCCCAATTTTTGCCTCAACCATTGGCTTTCTATCCTGAAAGGATCCATGTTTATGATCCTAATGTATGTGTGTTTTTTTTTAATAAGACTGTTCAGGTCAGTAATGGAGGTTGGAGAAAGAGGAGCCTACTAAGATATGTGTGTGTGTGTGTGTGTGTGTGTGTATTTTTATGTGCTTGTGTGTGTGTGTGTGTGTGTGTGTGTGTATTTTTATGTGCTTCTGGGTTGAAGGAAAACGGCTCCCATACGCTCATATGTTTGAATCATGGTTCCAAGTTGGTGGAACTATTTGGGAAGGATTTGGGGCGGGTGGGCTTGTTGGAGGAGTTGTGTCATAGGGTAGGGCTTTAAAGTTTCCAAAGCCTTCAGCCATCCCCAGCGCACACTCTGCCTCCTGCCTGAGGTTTGAGATGGGAGCTCTCAGCTGTTCTGCTGCCTTCACTCTGTCACGATGGACTCTGACCCTCTGGAACTGTAAGCCCAATTAAAGACTTTTTTAAATAGGTTGTCTCGATTGTGTTTTAGTACAGCTAGGATAGTAACTAATACAAGGTCTGCATTCATATATGATTTTTATGACTCATAATAACTTTGTCTATGTTGGTATTGCTATAACACAATGAATGGGTTAAGCAACAAACATTTTTTTCTCATATTTTTTGGGGGCCTGGAAAGTGCAAGATCACAGCATCAGCAAACTTGGCTCTTTGTTCACAGGCAGATGCGTTTTCTTTACCTTTTTCATATGTGCGCCTTTATGGAAGAGGCCTCCAGTCCACGGCACTGTCTTATCTTGAGATACTTTGTATGAGCGCCTCTCTTTCCTAAGTTCTTAGTATTAAACATTCTCTGTAAGTTAAACGTCATAGCAATTCTCATTCCTGTGGAAGGAGGGGGGAAAGTGTTACTGGAATTGGCTCCTAGGCTAGGCCCTAATTAATAAGACTGAAACTGAGGCAATTATGCAGAATTTAATAATCTAACTGAAACTTCAAGGAAGCCAATAAATTTCCACCTGGAAGATTTTTTTTTTTTTCTGAAAAGAGATTTTATTTTACCTCAGAGCGGAGTGGATAATGAAGTAGTCCCATTTAAATTCTGTCAGCCTTCCTAAACAAATAGCAAGCATCAGAAAAATTTCCTCCTAGTCAGCTTTAAAAAATTATTTCTTTTATTTTTTTGGATTATAATAACATTATTTCCCTTTCTCCTTTCCTCCCTTCAAACCCTCCCATATACCCCCTCCTTGCTTGCTCGTATTTTCTCTTCTGCCTTCTCGTTCTTTCCTTGGAAAGCCTATTATTCTGTCTTTGCTCAGTGGGAAATCTCATTCCGTTTTGTAGAATAGATTCTGCCCAGATTCTTGAATTACAAATAAAACCCAATATAGCCCGTCAGTAAATTGCTGTAATTTTGGCTGACATCTTTAACCTTTACACCATTGTGTTCGTTGTTCATATGGTACATTTCTCCCCTTGCCTCCTTTCCTTGCCTGAGCCCGGGCTTCTTACTACTTAACATCCAGTTCTTTTCACAGTTCCCCATTTCAGATTCTTTTCTGTCTTAAGTCTTTTTCTTATTTGTTCCTCATGTGTATGTGTGTGTGTGGTATGTATGCATATTTGCATACGGGTGAGTAGTGCATGTGTGTCTGCAAACACTCGTATGTGTGTGTATGGATGTGCATGCGGTTAGATGTCCAAAGTTGATTTTAGGAGTCTTCTTTGATCTCTCTCCACCTTATTCATTCCATCAGGTTCTCCCACTGAACTCTCACTCACTTATGTGACTAGTCCAGATAGCCAGCTTGCTTCTGGGGTCTCCTGTGGCTGCCTTCTACTGCTGGAATTCTAGGTGGGCCACCACACCCACCTGGTGTTTATGTGGATCTAAATTCCTGTCAGTATGCGTTTACAAGTGCTTTAACCACTGAGCCATATTCCTGTCTGTATGTGTCTACAGCAAGTGCTTTAACCACTGAGCCATATTCCTGTCTGTATGTGTCTACAGCAAGTGCTTTAACCACTGAGCTATGTTCCAGCCCTGGTGTAAATGTTTTAAAACAATGAGCATGACTATATCTGATTTCATATATGTACATATATATGTATATATATATGCATATATGTATGTATATATATATATATATATATGAAAATGATAGATAAGTTTATGTTTATATATCAGTATTTTTACAAAATCAATTAAGAGTGGTGCAAAACAAGTTTTTTTTTTTTTTTACAGTATTTTATGTTAGTAGGTGGAAAGGGAAAGTATGGACTGATTTATTATTAATAGTTGATGTGACATTTTATAACCTCAAAATATATCCACATGTATAAGAGTAAATACTAGCACATTTTACCCACAAGGCAAGGCATCCTAGGA